TTTTTCTTTTTGCTTATGTGGTGCTGAGGAATCGAACCCAGGGCCTCATGCATGCAAGGCAAGCACTCTACCACTGAGCCACCTTCCCAACCCCCTGTGAGACTCTTATCTCCAATAAACCACCTGGGTTCAATTCCTCAGCACCACATAAGCAAAAAGAAAAAAGCCGGAAGTGGTAGCACGATAGTCTTGAGCTGAAGAGCTGAGGGACAGCGCCCAGGCCCAGAGTTCAAGACCCACTACCCACAAAAAAAAAAACAAATACTATATGCATAAGTAGAATTTTCACATGAAATCCCCTTTTACCACCAAAGGACCTTAAATTGTTTTCTAATTTTATTATTAAGTAGTTATTACAATTCCATAAATCATGTTAAGAATACAGTGCAGGGCTGGGAATGCGGCTTAGTGATAGAGTGCTTTCTTAGCATGCATGAAGCACTGGGTTCAATCCCTCAGTATCATATAAGCAGAAAAGGCCAGAAGTGGTGCTGTGGCTTAAGTGGTAGAGTGCTAGCCTTGAGCAAAAGAAGCTCAATGATGGTGCCTAGGCTCTGAGTTCACACCCCAGGCTGGCAAAAAAAAAAAAAAAAAAGGTTAAAAAGCCGGGCTCAGGTGGCTCACATCTATAATCCTAACTACTCAAGAGCTGAGATCTGAGGATTGTGGTTCAAAGCTGGCCTGAGCAGTGGGGCTGTGGCTCAAGTGGTAGAGCACTAGCCTTGAGCAAAAATGAGCTCAAGAAAAGCACATAGGCTGAGTTCAAGCCCCAAGCCCCACAAAAATAAACTAATAAAACATTTAAAAAGCCATCTTCAACTTTCTATGGTCTTCAAGCCTGTTCTTTCCAGAAACTAAGCATGATTAATAAAAGCAGGATTTCCTTCAGGCAACATTTTTTAAATTTTATTTTATTTTTTGTCGGTCATGGGGCTTGAACTCAAGGGCTAGGCACTGTCTCTGGGCTCTTCTGCTCAAGGCTAGTACTCTACCACTTTGAGCTACAGCTCTACTTCCAGGTTTTCTGGTAGCTAATTGGAAATAGGAGTCTTATGGACTTTTCTGCCTCAGCTGGCTTTGTTTGTGTCTTGTTGGTTGTAGGGCTTGAACTCTGGGCCTGGGCACTGTCTCTCAGCTCTTCAGCTCAAGGTGAGCATTCTACTAGTTGAGCGAGCCACAGCACCACTTCTGATTTTCTGGTGGTTAATTGGAGATAAAAGTCTCACACGGACTTTTCTGCCCCTGGCTGGCTTTGAACCAAGACCCTCAGATCTCAGCCTTCTGAGTAGCTAGGATTACAGGGGTTAGCCACAAGCACCCAGCTTCAGGCAACATTTTATTTATTTGTTTGTTTGTTGGTTGGTTGGTCATGGGGGCTGAGCTCTGGGCCTGGCACTGTCCCTCAGCTCTTCAGCTCAAGGCTAATGCTCTACCACTTGAGCCATAGCGCCTCTTCTGGCCTTTTCTGTTTATGTTGTGATAAAGGAACGGAACCTAGAGTTTCACGCATGCTAGGCAAGCACTCTATCGCTAAGCCATATTCCCAGACATGAAACACAGCTTTTAAAGAGAATGAACAAGTATAGTAGGGACTGAGCTGTCCAAATTATTAAGAGCCCACATTATCCTAACTCCCAGCAATTGGAATTGGACAGTATCCTCTTGAGAAATAAGCTCTCATCATAGGATTTGGGCGCCCCCTGCTGGACAAACCAAGTTTCTGGGTACTTACAGAGGAAATTGGGACCATTCTCAGAATGTGATACAAAACAGAAATATGCCTTTTGTAGGAGTGAGGCTGAATTTTTTTTTTTTTTTGCCAGTCCTGGAGTTTGAACTCAGGGCCTGGGCTCTGTCCCTGAGTCAATCTGTGCTCAGGGCTAGTGCTCTACCACTTGAGCCACAGCACCACTTCCAGCTTTTTCTGTTTATGTGGTACTGAGGAATTGAACCCAGGGCTTCATGCATACTAGGCAAGCATTCTACCACTAAGCCAGCCCGAAGCTGAATTCTTAAGGTCAAGAATAGTGAACTGGGGGTGGGGAGGTGGGGGATAGGGGAGGGGAAGATGGGAAGGGATGGGAAGGGGAAATAAAGGAGGAGCCAACAATGCTTGATAAGAAATGTACTCATTATCTTGCCCATGTAATTGTAACCCCCCTGTATGGTATTTTCACAATAAAAGAAAAAAAAGAAAAATTTGAAAGGGACGATTGATTTGAATAGGCTCTACATAAAATAGAATAAAATTTAAAAAAAAATAGTGAACTGATCCAGGTGCTGGTAGCTCATGCGTATAATCTTAATCCTAGTTACTCAGGAGGGTGAGATCTGAGGATCAAAATTTGAAGCCAGCCTGGGCAGGAAAGTCCATGAGACTCTTATCTCCAAAAAAACAGAAGTGACGCTGTGGCTCAAAGGGTAGAGTACTACCCTTGAGCAGAAAGAAGTTCCAGGTCAAGGACAGTGGCCAGGCCCTGAGTTCAAGCCCCAGGACCTGCAAAAAAAAAAAAGAATAGCAGACAGTCTTTCCCTCTTCAGTTGTATGTGTTAATCTCATGCATTTAACTTCTGGCCCCCATGACTGTCTGAAATACATACCTGCAAAACCTTGCAACTTCTTGCGCTCCTCTAGGTTATACTGAAGCATTTCCAGCAACTCAAAATATCGGAAGAGAGAATCTCTCGGCCAAACAACACGATCATCCTGATCCATATCCATTAGCCCATGCAGATTCTCATGTACAAGAGTCTCCCAGTCCAAGTCATCTGTAGGGAAATAATGCTTCTTAGAAGCATATCTAAGCAAGGCACTGATTATTCACATCTGTAATCCTAGCTACTCTGGAGGCTGAGATCTAGAGATTGCTAGATCTCTACTGCCTGGGCAGTAAAGCCCCTTTGAGACTCTTATCTCTAATTAACTACCAGAAAACCTGAAGTAGAGCTGTGGCTCAAACTGGTAGAGCTCTAGCCTTGAGAAATAGAGCTCAGGGACAGTGCCCAGGCCTTGAGTTCAAGCCCTATGTCCAACAAAAAACAAAACAAAAAATATATCTAGACAGTCTAAAGGTAAGACTCATGTCATACTTCATGTCATTGGTTGAGTATCAGCCAAGTAAGTGTGAAGCCCTTAGTTCAAATTGGCACCAGGAAGAATGAATGAAGAAGGAAGGAAGGGGGCTGGGAAGGTGGCTCAGTGGTAGAGCGCTTGCCTTGCATGCCTGAGGCCCTGGGTTCGATTCCTCAGCACCACATAAGAAAAAAACCGGAAGTGGCACTGTGGCTCAAGTGGTAGAGCGCTAGCCTTGAGCTGAAGAGCTGAGGGACAGCGCCCCAGGCCCAGTGCTCAGGCCCCACGACCAGACCAAAAAAAAAGAAGGAAGGAAGGAAAAAAGGAAGACCAAAAAAGATTTAGATGTCTCATATTTTGAATTATATATTTTTTCAATATTGTATTTGAACTTGGGGCCTTGTACTAATCAGGCAAGTACTCTACTACCTGAGCTACACAACCAGTCCTAGCTGTTTGACTTAAAAGGGAACAAACCTTTCTTCTCGCCAATACGATCAGCATATTTGGATTTTGAAGAGGGTAGATGGTCGGATTGTGCAGAATGGATAGAAGAGGAAGATGCGTGTACTTTTTCTTTCCGTTTTGTTTTTGATGCAGAGTCTTCAACATCCTCTTCAGCAGGACTGAGTTTAGACTCTTCTGAAGAAGATTCTGATTCATCCTCTGATGTCTTTTGTTGACTACTTTTTTTGCATGGTATAGGAGAAATTTTGGACTAGTGGCTTGGCTTAAGCAAGAATACCTATCTAGCAAGCATGAAGCCCTGAGTCTAAAATGCCTGTTATCAGAAAAATGGCTGAATACTTTATTTCTTTTTCTGCTCTCTTATTCATTGCTAAACATTCAGAGTCTAGACTATCAATTTCACTGAATATCTACACATTTCCTATAGCTGCTGTAGCAAATTATCATAAATTTGGTGACTTAAAAAATAAAGGGGCTGGCTATACAGCTTAAATGGTAGAACACTTGTCTAGCACATGCAAGGCCCTGGGTTCAATCCTCAACCTTGAACACAGAACAAAATAAAACAATGTACTCTTCACTCTTTTGGCCAGAAGACAGAAATTAAAATGCTGGTAGGGCTACATTATCTCTAGAGGAGGAGTGGAGAACATTAGGCCCCAAGGCCATATAAAGCATTCAAAATCTTTTGGTACTTAACAGACATACATGCTTTATTTAGCTATTCATGGGGCTTGAACTCAATGGCTGGGCACTGTTCCTGAGCTTTTGCGCTCAAGGCTAGTGCTCTACCCCTTTGAGCCACAGCTCCATGTCCTACTCTTTGATTGTCAACTGGAGATCAGAGTCTTATAGGTATTCCTACCCAGGCTAGCTTTGAACCTTGATCCTCATATCTCAACCTCCTGAATAGCTATGATTATAGATGTGAGCTGCCCTGGAGTCCAAGCCTGTTTGGCTAATTTTATGTGGCTCCAAAAGATGTTATAAATAACCAAATGGCCCTTGGCAGAAAATAGGTTCCTGACCCCTTCAAGGTTTTAGGATATAAGGTTCCTTGCCTCTTGTATCTTGTAGTAGTGGCCAGCATTCTTCAACTCCTTTGGCTTTATGGTTTCATCATTTTAATATCTGCCTCCATCTTTATATCACTAAGCTAGGTGTGTTATCATGCTATGTAATCCCCGTACTCAGGAGACTGATGATGAGTTTAAGATCAACTTAGAATAAGTACACAAGGAAGACCATGTCTTGAAAAAAAAAATAAGCCTGCCTGGTGCCAGTGGCTCATGCCTGTAATCCTAGCTTATACTCAGTAGGCTGAGTTCTGAGGATCAGGTATTGAAGCCAGGCTGGTCAGAAAAGTCAGTAAGACTCTCATCTCTAATAAACTATTAAAAAAACAAAAACCAAACCTGGAAGTGGGTCTGTGACTGAAGTGGTAGACTATTAGCCTTGAGCAAAAGAAGATGCTTAGAAAGTGTGCTCAGACCCTGAGTTCAAGCCCCAGGACTAGCACAAAATAAATAAGTAAATAAAGAAACCTCCTCCTCTCTGCCTGTGTTCTCTCTTCAGTCAATGGACCCTTGTTATTAAGATTATTGAATTTAGAGCTTCTTTGGATAATCTAGGATGATCTTATCTCAAGATCTTAATGTCTTACAACTGCAGAGACTCTTACTCCAACCTAGTCACATTCGCAGATTCGAAAGTAATGACATGGACATATAATTTTGGGGCCACCACTGAACTGATTACAACAAATAGTCACTGAATTAATAGATTCTCTCTCTCTTTCTCTCTCTCTCTCCCTACTCTCTTCTCTCTCTCTCTTCTCCTCTCTCTCTCTCATCAGTCATGGGGCTTGAACTCTGGGCCTGAGCATTGTCCCTGAGCTCTTCAGCTCAAGGCTAGCACTCTACCACTTGAGCCACAGCACCACTTCTGGCTTTTTCTGTTTATGTGATCCTAAAGAATCAAACCTAGGACTTCATGCATGCAAGGTGAGCACTCTATCATTGACCAACCTTCCCAGCCCAATAGATTCTCTCTTAAAGCCAATCTTCATCTTTAAAGATTTCTGCTTTATCCTCTTTCTATTCCAGTTCATATGTACACTCCTACCTGCCATCCGCTTTGCTTGATCTGTGTGATTTTGAGGGTGCCCTTTGTCTCCTGTTAACAAATAAGAAAACAACTGGAACAAACAAAAGAGTGAACAAAGCTATACTTAAGCACAAGCACAAAAAGCAGAGTATTCATATCATCAAGTGAAGAACGAATGGGAGGAATAAATTGAAGTTAATAGGTGAAAAAGGATATAGCCCCCATAGTAGAGGGAAAGAAATAAAGTCATAAGGTCAAAGTTTAGAAATGAAGTATTAAGGTCAGAAAGCCCTTGAAAAACAGAGCTAGGTTTCAACACATGGAAGCAGACCTCTGTATAATTTGCCGCTTGAATACGTCAGCTTTATGCTGAACCTCCAGGTGAGTCATCTCCTCATTCAGCTCATTCCTGATATTCTGAAAGTTAGTAACTGCCCAAAAGGGCCATTAAAAGTTGGGAGAGGGTGGTGACCTGGGGAGAAATCTTGGGTGGGGAACAACCAAGTCAAATATACATCCCAACATCTAAGCCTTCTGTTATCCTGGATTCTTCACCAATAATCCACCAATCCCAGCTGCCCACTGAATTTCCCAGCTATCCCTGACAGCAAGTTGTACCTTCTGTTCTCTTACCCATCATGGCCACTATGATATTTCGAAATATAATGGAGCCAAGCAACAGCCAAAGGATGACATAAATGCTGCTGATGAGACGGCTGGATTCAGGAACCTTCCAGATATCCTGAAGCACTGCGTACCAGTGATCCAAGGTGAAGAGAATGAACACTGTCACTAAGGAATTTGGTAGGTCCCTAAAGAAAGAAACATATAAACAGATGCAGAGATCTAAACGTTTCAGAAAAATGATCAATTCTTATTTTCCAAGCAATTCTTTGTATTTTTTCTGACTTTGGCTTTTTTTTTTTTTTTTTTAGTGAACCATTCTTAAGTAAAACTAGTTTTTGTTAAGTTTTCCTTTGTCATGAATACCTAGTATTATTTCATTAGTCCTGGGGCATAGTAAGTACTCAGTAAGTATATATATTCACTAATTTTCTTTTTCTTTTTTTGTCACTTTTGGGGCTTGAACTCTGGTACTTCCAGTTTTTGAAACTCAGATATAAGTCTCACAGGGACTTTTCTGCCCTGGACTGGCTTTGAGCTGTGATCCTCAGATCTCAGCCTCCTGAGTAGCTAGGATTACAGGCGTGAGCCACTGGCACCCAGCTGCATTCTCTCCTTTATTGTCATACTTCCCTGTGGCAATAACTTTTTTTGTATGGTTAGTTGTAGATAAGAGTCTCATGGAAAGGCTGGAAAGGTGGCTCAGTGGTAGAGTGCTTGCCTTGCATGCATGAGGCCCTGGGTTCCATTCATCAGTACCACATAAGCAGAAAAAGTCGGAAGTGGCGCTGTGGCTCTAGTGGTAGAGCACTAGCCTTGAGCTGAAGAGCCCAGGGGCAGTGCTCAGGCCCAGAATTCAAACCCCATGACCAACAACAACAACAACAACAAAGAAGTAACTGCTGGGGTTACTTCTACATTTGTAATCCTTAGCTACTCAGGAGGCTGAAATACGAGGGTCACAATTTGAAGTCAGCGTGGGTAGGAGAGTCCATGAGACTCTTAGTTCCAATAAACTATTCAGAAAAGCTGGAAGTGGCACTGTGGCTCAAGTGATAATGAATTCACCTTGAGCAAAAAAGCTCAGGAAGCCGGGTGCTGGTGGCTCACGCCTGTAATCCTAGCTACTCAGGAGGCTGAGATCTGAGGATCGCGGTTCAAAACCAGCCCGGGCAGGAAAGACTGTGAGACTCCTATCTCCAATAAACCACCAGAAAATCGGAAGTGGCGCTGTAGCTCAAGTGGTAGAGCACTCGCCTTGAGCTGAAGAGCTGAGGGACAGCGCCCAGGCCCATAGTTCAAGCCCCACGACCGACAAAAAAAAAAAAAAGAAGAAGAAGAAGCTCAGGATCCGGGCACCTGTGGCTCACTCCTGTAATCCTAGCTACTCAGGAGGCTGAGATCTGAGGATTGCAGTTCAAAGCAAGCCTTGGCAGGAAAGTCCAGGAAACTCTTATCTCCAATGAGCTATCAGAAAACTGGAAGTGGTGCTCTGGCTCAAATGGTAGAGTGCTCTCCTTGAGCTGAAGAGCTCAGGGACAGTGCCCCCATGACCAACCAAAAAAAAAAAAAAAGTTGATCAGAAAAAGAGAACTAGCTGAACTCCTCTCAAGATCAGAGCAACACTAATTGTTCTTTTCTCCTTCTGTCTCCTTTCTATGTTCTACTCCTATTTTTTTTTGGGGGGGGTCCGGTTGTGGGGCCTAAACTCTGGGCCTGGGCGCTGTCCCTCAGCTCTTCAGCTCAAGGCTAGCACTCTACCACTTGAGCCACAGCGTCACTTCCGGCTTTTTTCTTTTCTTTTTTTCTTTTTTTTTTGTCGGTTGTGGGGCTTGAACTCTGGGCCTGGGTGCTGTCCCTCAGCTTTTCAGCTCAAGGCGAGGCTCTACCACTTGAGCTACAGCGCCACTTCTGGTTTTCTAGTGGTTTATTGGAGATAAGAGTTTCAGGACTTTCCTGCCTGGGCTAGCTTTGAACCTCAATCCTCAGATCTCAGCCTCCTGAGTAGCTAGGATTACAGGCATGAGCCACCTGGCTGTATTTACTATTTCTATGGCCTGAGAATAATGTTATAAATGGCCTTTGGCAGAAGACAGTTCCCCATCCCTACTAGACTATGCTTCTCAGTACAGTGTTTAACCCCAATTATCCCCCTTCATTCATGCTTCACCTAGGGCTCCCTAGCCGAGCTTACGAGAAGAACATGTTGTACTCCAGGTCCTCACGAGTCGAACGGCTGTACTCTTCGAAGAAATAGATGCCAGTCACAGCAAAAATGTAGAAGAAGATGAGCATCAACATCAAGAGGAAGGTCATGCTCTATAGGTCATAACTTCAAGTCAGAGGTGGGCCAGACTAGGCTGTTTTCCACCAACAGCCCCGTCAAGCCCATTTGGCTATGTCCCATTACACCCTGATTTCTACTTGGGAGCCTAGTCATTTTTAAAACCACAGAAGTAGCCAGGCACTGGTGGCTCACACCTGTAATTCTAGCTATACAGGAGGCTGAGATCTGAGGAGTGCAATTCAAATCCAGCCAAGGCAGGAAAAGTCCATAAGATTCTTATCTCCAATCAGTAACCAGAAAACCACAAGTGGAGCTGTAGCTCAAGTGGTAGAGTGCTAGCCCTGAGCAAAAGAGCTCAGGGATAGTGCCCAGGCCCTGAGTTCAAGTCCTATGACATATATATTCATTCTCTCTTTCTCTCTCTCTCTCTCATACACACACACACACACACACACACACACACACACACACATGACAAAAAACACAAAAGTGTTTCCCCAACCCTTCTTATTTAATATTTCATAGTTCTTTTGGCCTTCTATGAACTGGACAAACTAGTTTCATGTTAAATGTTAAAACCTCCACTATACTTATGTACCTTGTTCCCTTGCTTTAATGTAATAGTGAAATCACCTTAAGGGCCCTGACCAGAGCCAAAATAATAACTCGGATTTGACAAAATCGTGAAAAGAGTTTGAGAGATCTCAACACCCGGAAGATCCTCAACAACTGGAGCCACACAGACTGGCCTGAGACCCCCGCCAGCACCACAATTTCAGGAAGCAAGGACTGCAGGGAAACACACAGATTACAAGTATAACTAAGAGCATCTAGGACCCGTTGCCCCTTCCTTCCATCATTTGCACAGTTCCCGGGACATTATTTTTTGACCATCACTACACCTCAGGATTGTTTTCCAGACAGCCTTTTATATTGAATTAAATTCTGTATTTTCATCATATCTAGCTATAAAGAGGGGGGTAAAACTAGTTTTTATCTCACTGAGATGTTGTGGAGTACAAATTAGACAAGACATGTAAAAGACTTGAGATAGTGCCTGGCACTCAGGAGTGCTAAATTAACTGGTAGATGTTATTGTTACGATTGATGTGGTTAGATTTTTAATTTGCTGTTTTGTTTTGTTTTTTTTTTTTTTTTTGTCATGGGGCTTGAACTCTGGGCCTGGACACTGTCCCTGAGCTCTTCAGCTCAAGGCGAGAGCTCTACCCTTGAGCCACAGTGCCATTTCCAGTTTCCTGGTGGTTAACTGGAAATAAGAATCTCACAGGCTTTTCTGCCTGGGCTGACTTTTTTTTTTTTTTTTTGCCAGTTGTGGGGCCTGAACTCTGGGCCTGGGCGCTGTCACTCAGCTCTTCAGCTCAAAGCAAGCACTCAAGCCACAGTGCCACTTCCGGCTTTTTCTGCTTATGTAGTGTTGAGGAACCAAACCCATGGCCTCATGCATGCAAGGCAAGCACTCTACCACTGAGCCACCTTTCTAGCCCCCAGGCTGGCTTTGAACCACAATCCCTTGAACTTAGCCTGAGTAGCTAGGATTACAGGCGTGAGCCACCAACACCCAGCCTTTTTTTTTTTTTTGCCAGTCCTGGGACCTGAACTCAGGGCCTAGGCACTCTCCCTGAGCTTCTTTTGCTCGAGGTTAGCACTCTGCCACTTGAACCACAGTGCCATTTCCAGCTTTTTCTGTTTATATGGTGTTGAAGAATCAAACCCAGGGCTTCATTCACGCTAGGCAAGCACTAAGCCACATTCCCAGCTCTTTACTTTGCTCTTAACACCAAGTCCTGCAATTACTGACTTCTAGTTGTAGAGGAAAACAAAAACAAGTAAGGCTAGGTGCTGGTGGCTCAAACCTGTAATCCTAGCTACTCAGGAGGCTGTGATCTGAGGATGGTGGTTTGAAGTCAGCCTGGGCAGTAAAGCTCATGAGACTCAGATCTCCAATTAACTACTAAAAAAGATGGAAGAAGAGCTGTGGCTAAGTGGTAGAGTGCTAGCTTTGAGCAAAAAAATTCCCAGGGACAGTGCCAAGGACCTGAGTTCAAGCCCCCAGGACAGGCACACACGTAAAATCAAGTAAGGAAATTAGGTAATTTTTTTTGTTTCTTTTTTTGTTGTTATTTTATCTACCTAGGGACAATGCTCTCTCCCCCTCCCCCAACTAATCCTTAAAGGTATCTATCCTTACCAACATGGTAACAAAAAAGTCAAAGACATTCCAGCCATTTTTCCAGAAGAGGGAAAAGCTGGATAGCCATGTAAGAAAGATCTCCACGATGAAAATAAACAAGATAAACCAAGATGCCACCTCCAAAGTCAGCTTCAATGGCCACAGTTTGATATTTGCAGATTCCAATAATTCTGTGAGAGTAAAGGGGCAAAAAAAATTTAAGGAGAAGTCAAACGATAGAGAATGATCATTTATAAACAAATCAGTTATGCCCACAATCTGGTATTTTGTTGGCTCACTGGAGAAGGAGTCTCTAAGACTTTTTTCCCAGGTTGGCTTCAAACCTTGTTCCTTCAGGTCTCAGCCTTCTAGGATCATAGGTATAGCCACAGATACCCACTCCCCTAGAGATTCTTGGAGGTGTTCCAAAGGCTTGGAATGTTAAAGATGTTGAATACAGTGTAATTTGTTTTTATCTATATGCAATTTGAGTATATTTTCCTCTAAAACACAATCATCTTAGCCTTCAAATTCACTATGACTGATATATCTATCAGTTAATGGAGATCAGAAGAGCTTTGTACTGAATCACTCTGAACAAGAGAAACTACTCTGTAGATTTTTTTTTTTTGGTTGGTTGTGGGGCTTGAACTCTGGCTCTGGGCACTGTCCTTCGGCTCTTCAGCTCAAGGCTAATGCTCTACCACTTGAACCACAGCACTACTTCTGGTTTTCTGGTGGTTAATTGGAGATAAGTGTCTCACGAACTTTCCTGCCTGGGCTGGCTTTGAACTGTGATCCTAAGATCTCAGCCTCCTTAGTAGCCAGGATTACAGGTGTGAGCCACCGGTGCCCTGCTACTCTATAGATCTTTTTTTTTTTTTTTGTCAGTCGTGGGGCTTGAACTATGGGCCTGGGCGCTGTCCCTCAGCTCTTCAGCTCAAGGCGAGCGCTCTACCACTTGAGCTACAGCACCACTTCCGGTTTTTTGGTGGTTTATTGGAGACAGGAGTCTCACGGTCTCTCCTGCCCGGGCTGGCTTTGAACCGCGATCCTCAGATCTCAGCCTCCTGAGTAGCTAGGATTACAGGCGTGAGCCACCAGCGCCCGGCACTCTATAGATCTTTTCAGGCAAGTTTTACATTGTTACTATTTTTAGTAATATCTGAGGCTAATTATATACCTGTATATATGATATATATATTTTTTTATATTATCTATCTATCCATCTATCTTTTTTTGGTTGTACTCAGAAATCTGCACTTGCTAGGCACATGCCCACTTTAGTCATGTCCCCAACTCTCAGATTCTTCTTTCTTTCATTTTTTCTTTCGTTTCACCCCCCCCCTTTCTCTCTCTCTCTTTCCTTTGTCAGTTATGGGGCAAGAACTCAGGGCCTAGGTGCTGTCCCTGAGTTCTTTTGCTCTATCACTTAAGAGCCACAGCTCCACTTCTGTTTTTTGAGTAGTTAACTGGAGATAAGAGTCTCACAGGGCCGGGAGCTGGTGGCTCACGCCTGTAATCCTAGCTACTCAGGAGGCTGAGATCTGAGGATCATGGTTCAAAGCCAGCCCAGGCAGGAAAGTCCATGAGACTCTCCAATAAACCACTAGAAAACCGGAAGTGGCACTGTGGCTCAAGGTAGAGCACTCACCTTGAGCTGAAGAGCTGAGGGACAGCGCCCAGGCCCAGAGTTCAAGCCCCATGACCCACAAAAAAAAAAAAAGTCTCACAGGGACTTTTCTGCCTGGACTGGATTTGAACTGCAATCCTCAGATTTCAGCCTCCTGAGTAGATAGGATTACAGGTGTGAGCCGGCACCTGGCTCTCAAACATTTTCTTTATAAACAGTACAAACCACTTGCTAAATGGTGAAAGTAAACATTTGCTCACACACATCTACCACACACATTTTTGTGTATGTGTGGTGCTTGGGATCAAACTCAGGACCACTGGCATGATGATCAAACGTTTTACCATTGATCCACATAATCAGTCTTCACATATGATTGTTAATATTTTATAACAGTAATTACTAAAAATATAATATTAGTAATATGCTGGTCTAAGATACACTTACTTCAATTTGCTTCTTTATATAACATAAGATAGTGACATGAGGGGCTGGGAAGCTAGCTCAGTAGTAGAGTGCTTGCCTTGCATGCATGAGGCCCTGGGTTCGATTCATCAGCACCACATAAGCAGAAAAAGCCGGAAGTGGCGCTGTGGCTCAAGTGGTCGAGTACTAGCCTTGAGCTGAAGAGCTGAGGGACAGCGCCCAGGCCCTGAGTTCAGGTCCCATGACCAGCAAAAAAAAAAAAAAAAAATGACATGAATTGGTATGGTGGTTCACACCTGTAATCTCAGTACTCAGGAAGATGAGGCAAGAGGGCTCTCCAAATGTTTCTAGATCTTAGCAGGTGTACAAACCTAACTCTAGAGGACTCAATGTAATTATCTCCATTACAATTCAGATATTTCAAAATATAAAATGACCAATTCAGAAGAAAGTATCTCCCATTCACTTCCACTTTCTCTCAATGTCAGTTCTTACCTATTTCAATCATCAGTACAATTGTGTTAAAAAAGATAATGAAAATCATGAAATTTGTGAAGAAAGTACCTGGTTGGTTTTTTTTCTTAAGGAAACATACACAGTAGGGTTCTTTCTGACTTAGGCAGGTAATATAATAAAGATATAAGCTTTGAGAATTCAAAGGCAAGGCAAAATGGGAAGGAGAAAATAGGCAGATGATGAACAACGATGGATAAAAATGACATAACAAAATAGATTATCATTTTTTAATTAATTTTTTTGATTATGTGGTACTGAGGAATTGAACCCAAGGCCTCACACATGCTAGGCAAGCACTCTGCCACTGAGCCACATTCCCATCCTCCAAAATTGTTTAGAAAGATGAGAAACAGGACAATGAGATGCTGACATTGTTTTGAGAAGTGGGGAAGGAAAGCATCTAGAGTGGTAAAAAGGGCAAAATTGATTGGAATATATTGTAAATATATTGTAAATATGTGTGGAAATGCACCCCTGAATAATAAAGCTAATATATATGAATGACATTAGGGCTGGGGAATGTGGCTTAGTGGTAGAGTGCTAGCCTTGAGCAAAAGAAGCTCAGGGACAGTCCCCAGGCCCTGAGTTCAAGCCCCAGGACTGGCCAAAAAAAAAAAAAATGACATTAAAGGATACTTTCAAGAATCCATCCGGCCCACAAGGAAAAGGGCGGCCTCTGACCACACCGCACATGAAACCTGGTCAACATTCTCTGGGCATGTGAAATTCGTCCTATACGCCGAGGCTTTATAGAGAAGCGTACAAGCTGGTGTTGATCTCCCAACATAAGACTCTTTTGACGGGCAGGATCTGTAACAAAACAGTGACAGTGTGCTCCAGTGTTCCCAGCTACTTAGCAAGCAGAGATGGGAGGATCACAGTATGAAGCTAGCCTAATTAGCTCTACTCTTATCTGAAAAACAAACTAACAGGAAAAGGATTTGGGAATGGGGGCCCCAAACAGCCACCAATTTGTTTCTTGGCTTCCTATTCTTTAGAGGGCCTGGAATCTTAAACTTAAGTGTAATGAACAAACAGGCTGCTGACCAAGTACTTCTCGAAGAGTGTGGCGAGGCACAGCTTGACTCAAGCCTTGCAAATGTTCGATTAGAGAGAAAGTATCGATGAGCCGCGAACGAATGGCATCAGCTCTGGGCAGGGGCAGGTGCCCTGCTTGGTGAGAAGTAACCATATCTGGTAGGAAAATAAAAGAATCAAAGGTCATTTCATTCTTAGAATTGCACCAGGAGTAGAGGGCTGTTATTTTTCCCCATCCTCTCTGCTTTTGAGGCCTTAGGAAGCCCATACTTACGGAACGATGAACAGTTGCCAACAAATATTGAAATACCAGGTTTTCAAAAGAATCTATTGCTCAGCTGACCAAGTGTCCAGACACCTTCCTTCTCCAATGACATTTCTAATTAAAAACCTTTTTTAGCCTAGCATCAGTGGCTCAAGTCTATTATCCTCACTACTCAGGAGGCTAAGATCTGAGGAGCACAGTTCAAAGCCAGCCTGGGTAGGAAAAATCCAAGAGACTCTAACTCCAATTAACCAGCAAAAAGTGAAGGTGTGGCTCAAGTGGTAGAGCAACAGCCTTGAAAATGAGAGATTAAGGTCCCGAGTACCAACACTTCCCTCAGAATAATAAAAAACTAAAAAAGTGGGGCGTCGGTGGCGCACACTTGTAATCCTAGCTACTCAGGAGGCTGAGATCTGAGGATCGCAGTTCAAGGCCAGGAAACTCCATGAGTTTTTTTTTTTGTTGTTGTTGTTGTTTTTTTGCCAGTCCTGGGGCTTGGAACTCAGGGCCTGGGCACTATCCCTGAGCTTCTTTTTGCTCGTGGCTAGCATTCTATATCACTTGAGCCCAAGTGCCACTTCCAGCTTCTTCTGTTTATGTGGTACTGAGGAATCAAACCCAGGGCTTCATGCCTGCCTAAGCAAGCACTCTACCACCAAGCCACATTCCCAGCCACATGAGACTCTTATCTTCAACAAACCACTCAGGAAACCGGAAGTGATGCTGTGGCTCAAGTGGTAGAGCGCTCACCTTGTGCTGGAGAGCTGAGGGACAGCGCCTAGGCCCAGAGTTCAAGCCCCCATGACCAACAAAAAAGTTGGTGGGGTGGGGGGGGGGGAAGGAAAGCAGTAGCCAACCAGCAGGAGTCCAGCCCCAACCATTCAACAACAACAATAAAAACCAGGCCCCCATCCTGGTGTGTGTATTATATCCTGGTTATCACATGAGGAATTCAGGCAGTGAGGTGGACGGTGGCTGGGCATAGGGCGCCTACCACACAAGAAGTGAAAAGGAATCGCACAAAATCCAACAGCTGGGTATTCTGACAGAAGTGCCATCCCCGGTGTGTCCTCCCTGCCCCTCTCCCCCCCCCCCCATCCCCCCCCCAACCCCGCGCCTCCACTGACATTCCCACTTCGGGCCTCACCTCAGCCCTCGTTCGCCTCCACCCACTCAGCCCTGACTTGACTCCTCTCTGCCTCGGGTTCCGACGCCCCCAGGGCTCGGCTCCCCCCACCAAACAAGACAAGCTCAGAGAGGCGGGGGGGCGCTCCGGGGGCTCGCTGCGCCCCTCTTTCCAGACGCTCCCCCGGACTCCCCTCAGGGTACAAGGCCCGGCCCCGCCTCCTCGCCGCAACCCCCCGACCCCGGGGTCTAGCCCAGCGACGCTCCGCGCCGACGCCGTCTAAGCCCCGCCCCGCGCGCTGGACCACTCGGCAGTTACCCACTGGTCCCGCCTCCTGACGTAGTCGCGACGCAGCCAATCAGCGGCTGCCACACTGCGGCCGGAGCCGGGTTTAGGGGGTTGGGACGTCCGGCTGCAGGTCCGCCTGGGCCAGACGCGGGAGCGCGAGGCAGCGAGTTCGTGGTCGCCGGCCCGACCTTCGTCGATCCCTCCTCACCCCCCCCTCCCTTCGCCGGAGCCTTCGTTTTCATTTCATTTTTTATTATTTTTACTTCTTTTTCTTCCCCGACCTCCCCTCCCCCGGCCGTTTCCCACCCCCGGTCCCGGTTCCTCCCCCGGTCGCCTGGCCGCCATGCGCCTCCGTCATCTAGCGCTGTTCTCGGTCGTGGCGCTGCTTCTCGCCGAGGCCCGCCACGCCGCTGCCTCTGACGTGCTGGAACTCACCGACGACAACTTCGAGAGTCGCGTCTCGGACACGGGCTCCGCGGGCCTCATGCTCGTCGAGTTCTTCGCTCCATGGTGAGGCCGCCGCTCCAGGCCTGGGCCCGGGGGAGGGAAGAGTCTGCTGGGGTCCCCCGGGCCGGGCGCGCGAACGGTTGGGCCTACGCCGCTCCAGAGCCCTCCACACTATTCCAACGTGTCTGTCCTCCCCACCCCATCCACCATCCCTGGGGATCCGGAGGTGCGGGGCCGGGGGGGGGGTGCGCCACCCACTCAGGAAGGGAAACCTCGGGGCTCCTCTCCCACCAGGCCGCATCCTTTTCACCAGGCACTTCCTATTTGCTGAGGGTTTCACCATCTCGGCCCCCACCCCACCCCACCCGGCTCCCGGCGATGTGTTATCTTACTCAGTTCTTCAGGTGACTCAGTGTACTCGATCCCGGCCTGCTATCCGAAAGCCTTAATAGGAAAGAGAATGTAACCCTCAAGTGTGGAGGTCCTGGGAACGCTCAGGGTATTTCCTTTCGTCCTGACTCCCTGCACCACCACCACCACCCCCCTTTCACCCCACGCCCCACTGCCTGTTGGTTTCAAGCCAAGGTCACTCAGTAGCTGCAGAATGGTCATGAGTGCTTTTTCTTGATGCACACAATTATTATTGTTATTGTCCATGGGTAGTGCCCCATTAAACCTGGAGAGGTCTCTGTCACAAACCAAAACGCTGGGTGCCTTAGGAATTATTCCATCAGGGGGCTGGGAAGGTGGCTCAGTGGTAGAGTGCTTGCCTTGCATGCCTGAGGCCCTGGGTTCGATTCCTCAGCACCACATAAGCAAAAAGAAAAAAGCCGGAAGTGGCGCTGTGGCTCAAGTGGTAGAGCGCTAGCCTTGAGCTGAAGAGCTGAGGGACAGCGCCCAGGCCCCACAACCGGAACCCCCCCCCCCAAAAAAAGGAATCATTCCATCAGAGTCCGCCCTGATTGTCATAGTTCATGAAAATGACCAGAAAATGACTCTTCATTCCCCCACCTCCACCCCACAAACAAGTAAACAATGTTGAGAGAAATAACTTCACTTCTGAGTATCCTAACCTAACAAAATGTGAGCTCCTTAGAGAGCAGAACTACTTCAGAATAGAAATCTGTTTTCTTTACAAGGCATGACAAATAGGATTTCTGGCCCTGCCAGCCTGAGTGGTGATGATAATGTCCAAACTATTCCAACAGCACACTTAATTATTTTAACACTTGGAATAGCTCAGTAGATCATGATAATTGCAGTACTGAATTTTTTTCCTTTCTGGCACAGTGACCCTTAGCTAAAAACTGATTTCAAAAGTATTAGATTTTTTTTAATTATTTTTTTTAAGTGTCAGGGCTGGGAAGGTAGCTCAGTGGTAGAGCGCTTGCCTTGCATGCATTAGGCCCTGGGTGTGATTCCTCAGCACCATTTAAGCAGAAAAAGCCAGAAGTGGCGCTGTGGTGTGGCTTTAGTGATAGAGCGCTAGCCTTAAGCTGAAGAGCTGAGGGACAGCCCAGGCCCAGAGTTCAGGCCTCATGACCTACCCTTCCCCCCCCCCAAAAAAAAAAAAAAAAGTGTCTTTAAGTCTTATTTTTGACTCTGGGCTTCACTCTTCTAGCCCATCTGATTTGTCCAGGGTCATGCCCCAAAACTCCTGGGAAGGACTACCTGACTCAGAAGGATATGCAAAAGGCAGCAAGTTGGGTTTTAACAGATTTTGTGTCCTGGCATCGCTGTGGCTAACTGGCAGTATTGGTTACACATTATGTAGTCTCCCTACATCTCAGAAACTCATTCTTGCTTAGAAAGTCTTTCCAGTTACGTAACTATACTGTTACATGAGGGGGAGACAATGACTAGGACTTCTTGGACTAAAAGGGGTCATACAGCAGTTTAAAGAGGAATTGCTAGCCTGGTGCTGATGGCTCATGCCTGTAATTGTAGCTAGTCAGGAGGCTGAGACCTGAGGATTGCAGTTCAAAGCCAGCCTGGACAGTAAAGTCTGTGAGACATGTCCAGTTAGTTACAGAAAAAGCCAGAAGTGGCGCTGTAGCTCAAGTGGTAGAGCTCTAGCCTTGAGCAAAAGGAGCTTAGGGAGAGTATGCAGGCTTGGGAGTTCAAGGCCCAGCACCAGCAAAAAAAAAAAAAAAAAAAAGGAATTGCTGGAGAAATGTGTTCTGTTAGATTTGGTTTAAAGCAGAATTAGGGTTAAGGATGTTGTGCAAGACCCCGAGTTTAATTCCCAGTACTGGAAGAAGGCAGGGAGAAACAACTAAGGCTTGTGTGTGTATACCTGTACTTGTACCATTCAGGGTCTGGGCACTGTCCTTAATCCTTTTTGCTCAAGACCATACTTGTGGATAATTGTAGGTAAGAGTCTCACAGGCTTTCCCACCCAGCTGGCTGCGAACCAGGATCCTCAGATCTCAGTCTCCTGAGTAGCTAGATGACAGGTACTAGCTACCAGCACCTGTCTTAAGGGCATTCTTTTCTACATTTTATTTATTTATTTTTTGCCCAGACCAGGCTCAAATTTGTGATCCTCAGGCTTGCACCACCAAATCCAGCTGGTCTTGTCTACTTTAAATTGGCCCCCATGCTGTCCTACATATTCCGTCATGCATTAAACTGTTCCAAGAATTGGGTAGATTTCTGCTGTGGTGTCTCCTTTCTGGTGGTTAGAAGATAAGGCCATCCTCTGTAATTCCAGCAAGAAATATCAGTTTTCAGAATGACCAATCTGAAGTTTAGGAAGTCTGTTGATAAGGTGTTTAATTTCTATACATTGAACTGCTTTTATTAACATGTCAGCTGGGAAATGTTTTTCAACTGCTGTTTTGCACAGATTAGGCATACTATTCTTGTCAGGAACAGTTCAAGAATCAAATTCAAATTGGCTTATTTTGTTCTGTGCACATTCTTTTTCTCTTCTTAAGGTTTTATCCCCTTGTGTGTTTTTTTTTTTTGTTTTTGTTTTTGGTCTTTGGTGCTAATACTTGAACTTGAACTCCAGGCCTCATGCTGCTCTGGCTTTGTTTTTTTTTTTTTTTTGGTCGGTCGTGGGGCTTGAACTCTGGGCCTGGGCGCTGACCCTCAGCTTTTCAGCTCAAGGAGAGCGCTCTACAACTTGAGCTACAGTGCCACTTCCGGTTTTCTGGTGGTTTATTGAAGATAGGAGTCTCACGGTCTCTCCTGCCCGGGCTGGCTTTGAACCTCGATCCTCAGATCTCAGCCTCCTGAGTAGCTAGGATTACAGGGGTGAGCCACCAGCGCCTGGCTTGCTCTGGCTTTGTGACTCAAAGTTTGTAAGCCATCACTTGAGCCACACCTCCACTTCCTGCTGATTAGTTGGAGGTAAGAGAGTCATGGACTTTTCTGCCTGGACTGGTTTCAAACCTGGATCTTTGGATTTGTCTCACTGGTAGCTAGGATTACAGGCATGAGCCACAAGTGCCTAGCCCCTACTTTTAATACATTTAAGATTTCTTTGTAGTGTACTATCTTATGAAGTTAATTATATATTTAGAAAGATAGGATTTTTGTTAATTTCTCTGGGGATTAAATTTCAAGACTTTTTTTTTTTTTGTCGGTTGTGGGGCTTGAACTCTGGGCCTGGGCGCTGTCCTTCAGCTCAAGGCAAGCGCTCTACCACTTGAGCTACAGCGCCACTTCCAGTTTTCTGGTGGTTTATTGGAGATAGGAGTCTCACGGTCTCTCCTGCCCTGGCTGGCTTTGAACCGCGATCCTCAGATCTCAGCCTCCTGAGTAGCTAGGATTACAGGCGTGAGCCACCAGCGCCCGGCTTAAATTTCAAGACTTAAATTTTGGGGGCTAGGAAGGTGGCTCAGTGGTAGAGTGCTTGCTTCGCATGCATGAGGCTCTGGGTTCAATTCCTTAGCACCATATAAACAGTAAAAGCTGGAAGTGGCACGAAAGATTTAAATTTTTGTGATAACTTCTAGAAGATTTTAAGATTTCATCTCTATAGTACTGGGGATTGAAGCAATGTTGGCCTTAGGCTCTACAGTGAGTCACATTCTCAGCAGTGTGCTGACAGTGTAATAAAATTTGACTTTTCAGGAGGCTGAGATCTGAGGGGTGTGGTTTGAAGCCAGCCTAGAAAGAAGAAACTTTGCTTTTTTCTTTTTGGCCAGTCCTGAGGCTTGAACTATGGATCTAGGCATTGACCCTGAGCTTCTTTTGCTCAAGGCTAGCACTCTACCACTTGAGCCATAATGCTGCTTCTGGCTTTTTCTGTTTTTCTGGTACTGAGGAATCAAACCCAGAGCTTCATGCATGCTAGGCAAACACTCTACCACTAAGCCACATTCCCAGTCTATGTGAGACTTTTTTTGGGGGGGGGGTTCCAGTCGTGAGGTCTGAACTCTGGGCCTGGGTGCTGTCCCTCAGCTCTTCAGCTCAAGGCTGGCATGCTACCACTTGAGCCATAGCACCACTTCTGGCTTTTTTTT